TCTCTCTCTCTCTCTCTCTCTCTCTCTCTCTCTCTCTCTCTCTCTCTCTCTGAAATATTTCACCGATAAAGCATCCCTTTTAACGACCCTTATGAGATCTCGGGTGCTTTTTTCTATTGACCTTTTGCTCCGCCGTTCTCATTTCAATTGAAACAGATTATTGCGAATCAAAGTTGCGACAGATACACGGGAATGCATTATTAAGCGCGGGATCGCCGCTATTAATACCGCTTTCGCGATTCCGAATCGATAGCGGAGCGAATAAACGCGTCGCTCTTCAACGTCCGATCGTTTGTCAGCGCGCACAGAATGTTTCGCGGGACGAAATATCGAGGTCGTGGTTCCCATAACTCTGTCACGTAGGGAAACAACAAACTGGTACTACTGCGCGTAGAAGAATATTTTTATAATTTTGAGAACGTTAAAGCGATCAAATCTCAGCATTTGTTTCCCCCGTGCGACGATTTATCGCTCGTGATATCTTCCCCGCTGGCTTTCGCGTGAAACGCTTCGCTTTGCGCTAAGCACGACATGAACTTGTAACTGAACATTTAGGACGAAATCGTATTAACGCGATAGTTCTACGAGAAACTGTCCGTCTAACTTTTACAGTCGTCCAGAAAGCATATCGATCGTACGACACATCACGTCATAATAAGTAGAATACAAGTCATCTGCTTCAGCTATAGTCTCTGTCAAGTTTTCCTTACGCCCTGCTTTCAGACTTTTCATGTTTTTCATCCCGAAATTGAGGACACTACTCTCTTATCCGAGAGATAACATAAAAATATTATTATTAATAATTGTGGCAATAATGCTGAGAGACAAGAGAAAGTGAGTTCAATAAATTATTTAGAACTACATTATTAATTAAAATTGTTAATTCCGCTAATGCACTTTTTTATCGCTTCTTTTTCTACCTGGTCTAATAATTATATATGTATGTGTGTGTGTGTGTGTGTCCGAAAAAAATTATGGGATATTAACTCAATCCATTTTACTTCTTATCAGACTTCTTATTAGACTTTAATTATTCCCAGCGCGTTTGCGTCAGTAACATCGAATGCGGATGATCAATCACGATTGATTCGAATTAATTCCTCAACTCACCCTTATCGAAGTCGCGCGCTTCGACGCGTCGAGTTCTCTCGTGAAAGTACTCGACTAGATTCTCGTCGAAATATCACAGACGATCGGTTGGTCCGCAGAATCGTTGGTCGTCGAAATTCCTGCATGCGCTGCGCTATTAGGGACGTTTTAATCTAAAATGATATGAAACTACTTTTTATATAATAGAACAAATACGCGAGGAAAATTTATTATCTAAATTAAATATTTATTAATTAATTTTCTACACGCATCTTATCTTTCGCGGTTATTACGTCATCGGGAAAAGCCCGGTGAATTTTGATGTTTCTAAGTGTTATGATAAAGAAATTTATTTTTGTGAAATATTGATGTTTTTATTTTCGACAAAAGAACAAATCGTAATCAAGATAAAATATATATAATTAAAATTATAATTATATATATATGTATTTATGTATATATATATATATATATATATATATATATATATATATGTGTGTGTGTGTGTGTGTGTGTGTGTGTATATATGTATATATGCATTATCTGATGAGTAGAAATTTTTTTTCAAACGTACTCGAGAGATGCTTCTGCGGTATCGTGTCACTGCACTCTGCTACAATAAATTAAATTTATATGTAAAATATTAAATACATATATAGATACAATAATGGATAATAACTATCCACGAGAAGAGATATATTTCGACAGTAACGAAATATCGGGAGCATCCCTGTGCGTTACTCGGCAACGAACGCGCGATATATACCGTCGGTCAATATAGTTCAAATATATGCTATCCTTGAAGGAAATCCTATGAATACCAATTTCTCGAATAAATTCCTCGCAAAAGTGACAGGCGGAAACGCGATAACGCCCGAGTTTTGAAAGGAAATTTTGCAATGCAATAATTTTGTCGGATAATAATCTATACGTGACACGTTGAAAGGGCGCGTCCCGAACTAAATGTCGGGATGACTTATAATCGATATTTATGAAGCAATCGATATTGAGGAAGGCCCGCGAGCGAAAGTATCGCATCCACCTGTTATCGCGCAATCGTTTTCACACGCAACTGACAACGATATTTTTTACAAGATGCTTTTCAAACGTGTAAAGAAGACTTGTCTTCACGCATAAATTAAAAAAGAAACAACAAAACACTTATACAGGCGAAACTCGTTAAAAAAAAAACCAAGTTCTCGCCACAGAACGAAAGAATCGGTTTAGGCCAAGAAACGAAAACGTAAACGACGCGGCCCGGTGTCGATTTTCTCCGTGGGGCAAGTGCAACGTACTCGAAGTCGGAATTTCCCCGAGCTATCGACCGCGTACTCGAACAGCAGGGCAGTGTGTTGTTGCACAGGATGCGCGCGAAGACTCGCATGCACGCGCTTCGCCGCGGCGAAAATCACGACGCGTCGCTACGCGACGCGGCGATGGTAGTAGTGGTGGTGGTGGTGATGACGACGATGACGACGACGACGACGACGTCAACCTACGAGACAGACGCGCAAGCGGCGCTCGGCGGCCGCCGAGCAGCGAGGCTGGGTGGACACTGACAGGAGTGGCGCGCCGCCGATCCAGGCGACCGACCCGGCGCGACACAGATTCCGTTCGGCGGTCGGCGCGGTGCGGCGAGACGCGCGAACGCGGAGGCTCGCGCACGCAACCACCCTCCTCCCTGCGTGCTGCTCCTCGCCGTCGGTCGTAAGGGCGTAAAAGGTAAACGCACGGATGTGGCCCAATAATTCCGTCCGATGGAATTTCGACGACTTGCCGGCTGAATTCAGATTCCCGGAGATCCATTTGAAACGGGGGTTTCGTTCTTTTACATTTTGTTCCATGCAAACGTAGGATAGCTCGACTGGAATTTGTAAAAGTGCTTCTCGTCGCGGTTGGAGGATAGCTCGAGGCGAGGTCTCAAGTAACGAAACTTCGAACGAGCGCGAATAGTCGTGGAAACGATCGCGTTCGCATCTGGAAAATTATGCTTCGTCGTGAAACTGAGAGCAGCGGGCTGATATGAGCTTTCCAGGGGTGAAGCAATTTTACAAGTTGCCGTTTAATTTCGATATTGATCTGCGTAAATCAACATTGCTAATGTTCGTCGCGATGTAACGTTGTTGTAAAATTACGTAATTGTCAGGCGAAAAGTCTACCTGTTACATACGTGAACAGCCAGACGTCCGCAGTATGAATTGGGGTCGAGATATTTTCGAGCAAATAGAGAATAACAGATTAAAGCACGCGCGGTTTGCGTTAACGACGGGCTCGCGCTTCGAGTTATTTCGCGCTTTCGCTTGAACTTGAAGACCTCGCATGAATTTTAATCCGTATAGCTTTAAGGTTGCTCTTTCAGGGACGCGGGATCTGCTTCGAGTGAATATAAAAGAGATTAAACCGAAAATATATAACGTGATTTAATGTGAGTTCGCTTGAAAGGATACGGGATTCAGTGTTGATGAGTGAGGCATATTGCATGAGGTGTATACAGAAAACGTTTGTAGAGATTAAATTGTTTAATTTTTATTGCGTCAAAAGCTCAACTATATATGTATATATTTAGTATATTTAACTATATATTTAGTATATCTACTAAAATATATAAAATCCACTACAAATATAATCGTTAACCGTCGTTATTATATATACTATATTATGTATATATAAATTCTTACATTGTATATTTTATAAATTACACGCCTTCATTGCAATGCAGTCTTTTCAATGCTTTTGTGGTTAGAAATGAAAAAACAGATACATACATTTATTGTGTGGAAAAATATTATACGCGACATTCTTCGAACATATATCGGTTTCCTATTATTTCAACTCTTCTAGTTTTTACATTCTTGCTCCTTCACAATTTTGTATTGTAACTTCCATTTATTTAGGGAAGATGCGCCGTATACCTGCAACTCATATAATTTATCAAATATTTATAAATAGTAATATGTTTTCTAATAAAAAAAAATGTTTAAGAATTAATTTGATGTTTCTCTAATTTTAATTTATTTTCATTCTGTCAAAGATATTTTCAAGTGTTGAAATTATATGATACTTTTAGATTTTGCACAATGCATGTGATGCAATTGTATACGTATAACATTGATAGAACAAAATAGAATATATTGTAGTACAATACAATACTGCTTACGTTTGCAACAAATTCCAAAGCGGAACGAAATGTGATCTCATGTAATGCACGCGAGCCCCACTTGTACTCCAACTTTGTCGGGTCATCTTTATCTATTATTATTTTCTCGAGGTATCTCTGGTTGACGAAATCCTGTATGAAAACGTGTATGAAAATGATATTAAGTAAACATTGCATCAGTCACATTCCTTGAATCTGAGTTGTCACTTACAACTGTCACCAACTGCTTAACGTCACCAAAGTATTCGTGTGTGTAGTCATCTCGAGTTATAATGCCCAAATTGCAAAGGAAATCCCACAGTAAGTCTGAAAAAATATTTCAACTATTATTACATAGAAAATTTCCAACTATTCTCTAATTTTCAATTAAATAAAATTACTCATGAAACCTTAGTGAATAATAATGTCATTTGCAGCAAGAAATAAACAACAGAATTCTCAAATACCTTCTTTGCATGATTCACCAAGCATGAAAATATGCACAAGCACAAGAAACAACAGCGTTTGTGTACTGGAACTTTTCTTGGAATTGAGATGTGGAAGTTCATTGGATATTTCGTTTACCATTATGTATTTATTGCCCTCAACTATCAGCAGCTTGTATCCAAACACCTTTAAAAGATATTTTTAATTTCACAGTCTCAAATACAATTTAACTTTGGTTTTAAAAGTTTGCAAAGATAATTATTTAATTTTGTAGATTATGTTTATAAAAAATTTTATAGATTTATTCTATAGAAATATATATTTTATATACATATATATATATACATACCCATATATATACATACATATACACATATACATATATATGTTAGTTTAAATAGCTAGAATAAACATGTGTACCTTAGATAATTGTGCCTCTACTTCTGCCATAATTAGCTGATAGTCCTTAGGATTAAGTAGAGTGTTTTTAAAGATATGGGCCCTCGAAATAGGCTGTTTATTTCGACCTGCCATGAACAGATATTTTATTACACCACTAACTGTCTGCATATTTTCTTGTTTCTGCATGATTTGTGACTGTGATTTTTGTAACTGTGATCTTTGTGACTGTGATCTTTGTGATCTTCTGGATATGGGTCTTTCATCAAGTTCCAATAATTGGCTAGCATGGCTGCTTGTACTAGGTTGAGACAGTGAAATGCCACTGAAGTTTTCCGTTACTCTTTGGATCTTCTTTGATCTTGTTCGATATTCTGAAACCCATATTTTATTAGCTACAACACGCACAACGATTCTTATTATCTACTTATAAATGGCAAAGCACAATTGTCATTTTAAAAAATTTGAAGACAGGATACATTTGATAGGATTTGAGTAAGATACATATTCCCAGAAATATATTAATATTTTAGATTTTGATCTCATTTAAATAGTGTCGGAGATGTGAAGAAATCATTTGACACAACAAAGATGTACCTTTACTCATTTTTTTAAATAGGTGTAAGGTTAAACGAGTGTCACATTAAAACTGGGCTTCTCACGTAGCGTCTTGCGAAGCAGAATGACTTCTATTTCTGCTCGTTTTTACAAACAGAAGATGTTCAAAATTCAGTTGATGAAAACGGCACATCACAAGTTATACACTAAGTCACATGTAAACAAAGACAACCAATAAATATCACTCCCGCCTTTTCCACAATTCTGCGTAGTCTCTTTCTCTCTCTCAATAGATGGCTCTGGGAGTCATTCCTGCGCATATATGTAAAGCTAGCGGCACACGATGCTTGTTTTCATGCTAAATTGCTTGCTGGATGGAAATATTCTGTTCTGATTGGTGCATTTCTGAAGACGGATCAATCAGAATAGAGTATTTCCATCCAGCAAGCAATCCAGCACGAAACAAGCATCGTGTGCTGCTGGCTTAATACTTATGGCTGCGTTCGTTTTGGCGCTTACAATGCTTTGAGCATCATTTTTTAACCTTCTCTATCAAATACTAAACAAGTGATATTAATCCAATTAATTCCATGTTTTATTTGTAATATTCGTTACTAATAATGCTATTGCATTTTAATAACCACAAATGATACCGATAAATAATAGACATTTTGTAATATCTTACAGTTTTTTCTGAATTGCTAATAAATATCTCGAAATTCAACTGACAATTCAGTATGTAATCAAATTAATCTTGCGTTTCAGCAACAACTTATTATATATTACTATGCATGTGCTCGACGCTCGACGCACTTATATAAAAGCACCTATAAAGTTTCCGGTGCATGCGAGAAAATGGCTGCTACCGCCACATATTTTCACTACGTTTAGTCATAAAATTCTTTTGTTGAAAATGAGCAGAGCAAATAACATCCAATATCATCTATTTTTTTGTTACGACATTCTTTGATGCAATAAGATGCTGGCATTTTTGGTTTTACAACAGTAATTTAATGGCCACGCTGTCTCATATTGTACGTTGTAAGTACTCACACAAGTGACACGTCACACACACAACATCACATACACAAGACCGCCGCCATTTTCTCGCATGCAACCGGAAACCTTACGTGACCCACGTTCGAAACCCTTGTTAACAATCTAATTTAGTATAGACATCTGTGTATTTATGTCAATAATTTGAAGTATCTTTAATCTACAATCGTTGAATTGTACCATTTAAAAATAAAAAAAAATATTACAACCTCCCTGCTGTTAATACTTACTATTAGGAAATAAAATATCGTCTCATCCGCCGTTGAAAAATAAAGATTTGTCCGATTACGACTTCGATTGCTCGATAAAAACAATGGCGGCTTATTAGAAATTCTAAAGTTTGTCTAGTGTCATCTAGCGTGTCGCGAAGAAACTCTGATGCACCGGACGGGTTTGAGTACTCGCTTAAATAGCGTTTGAGGATACTGTAATATTTACCTGCCGTCGCCAGAAGAGTAAAAAGAAATAAATAGGGTTTGAGTCTTGGCTAAGGGACTCTTCTCTCTTTTATTACTTTCAAAATCTCCGCTACGCCTCCACCGCTCGCACTGCAAGTTCGAGATCGTGATATAAATCAATAGTAAGTCAACCGGATTTTTTATTGTTTAAGTAATACATTCAACGATATCATTTCGAGATTACATCTCGAATTTAATATTGTAAGAAGTTAAACGTAATTTAATACGCTGTACTACAGTGTGATAAAGAAAGAGAATAATTCTTCACAATTTACAATTGAAAATCGCGTGCTATTTGAATGTAAGATATATAAAAGATGTGAATCATAACCTATGTTAATTAACCAGACAATAATCAACCAAAATCGTGAGAATGAGTGATTTTGAAAAAATAACAAGAAGACCGTTGACGATTCCTCTGGACTTTGTGCCTTATATGGAAAAGCACAGATTATATGAATTCTTTTACGTAATTGAAACACATCACGTTAATTATTACTCGTTGCCAAATATATGTCGCTAACTTTAATTATATATTATTTATTTTATGTATTGTTATTTTTGTTCTCTTTGTAGCATAGTTCATAATAAGATATCTAATAATATGTAACCAAAAATATAATATTCATAGGAATTAGTGACACAATTATTAATCCAGCGACCAGAAGATCCTGTGGTGTTTATGAAGCAATGTATTCAACATGCCGTACGAAAACGAGATATTCCCAGAGTTATTCTTATAGCTCCACAAAGCTTCGGTAATCCATTAAGAGATGTACAATTGACATATTTATACTACAATATTCCCAAAGAAATATATGCGTATATATATTTTTTTAAATAAACGAAACGAAATTTTCTGTTGATGGGCAGACAGAATGGCTCTCGCGCACGTTCTTCAGGAGGAAATAGGTGTCCGTCCTATCACCTTGAAAGATCTTTGTGCTTCATCATCTGCCGACGTACGTCGTTATCAGTGATCGATTTTTTATAAAACGCCTCAGGGAATCGCACATTTATTTTTATTTCGTCAGATGAACAACACCAAATATACCTCGACAAAAAAAATATATATTTCAGAACACGTATCAATTTATCGATGCCGATGAGATCGCGATTGAATTAAAGAAAACTTTGATGTCGGGAATACTTCACGAAACCGGATGGGTGTTAGTCGGTATAATCTTGCTTACGTGAATTGAGAAAATGTTTATTCTGTTGGATGAAGCGGGCTTGGAATTATCCTGAGAGATAAATGAGCGATTCTTTTCTCACGCAGACATACCGAGAAGCAAGAAAGAAGCGCGTGCGTTGCAGCAGATCGGTGTGATACCAACTCACGTCATACAAGTCGTACCACCGAATGGCGCAAACGAGAAAAGTGATTCTGATCTGATTCATTTTAACCCCATTTTCATTCTCGAAGCGCGATCAGAGTCGATAGACATCGATTTTGTTATTTTTTTTTGCTATTTTCCAAATGAAATCTTGCAGGCTTGAATATAAAGTTTTGATTACTAATTATAAACTAATAATAAATGTTAATCTGTTCTTGGTTCAGAGAAAATAGGCAAATGCGATCAAGCTTCTCATAAATCGCGCTCGTTGTCAGAGGATGCGGAACAACTCGAATATGAGAGAACTCTTCGAGGTCTACGTGAAGCTTACGCCAATCTTTTAATTGTTAGTTGATATGGCAATTTCTTTTCTGGGAACTCGAAGGCAATAAGTGTCTTATTCTACACTGAATTAAATATTAATTTTTCCACGAAATTCGATGAACAAATAATTCCTCTTCAGGAAGTACAGGCTGCTAATAAGACAATTCAAGAGTTAGCCATAGATTGCGCGGAATTGACGAAAATTAGGAAACATTACGGTGCACCGTCGCTCTTTCGTGTCGTCCTTATGGGTCCCCGAGGATCGGGCTGTCGCTCTTTAGCCAAGCACATATCCGCGACATTCAATCTTGTACACGGTAATACTATAATTAATAATTAAAGGAAAGTTTAAATAGCCGAAAAATAGAAACTTTTTACGAATTTTTTTTAAATAAACGCATACAGATATCAATATAAAGTTCTGAACATCTAATCATTGTTTTAAGTATAAAACAATTAATGCTTATTAAAAATAAATTGAAATTTTTTTCCTGTCGTCCATGCTTTTATGCTGAGCGCGGTGCCGTCAGATATCTTTAACTGATGAACAATTTCTTATATTCTTTATTTTACATTCTTATAAACATCTTTTATCACATCATTACGCCGATTATATCACAATCTATTAGACATTTCGTATTTCTGCAGTCAATTTTAATTGCATTCTGGAGCAAGCGTGTTTGCGAGAGTCAGTTTTAGGCGAAATTCTGCGATTATACGAACACAAATGCAGGGCGATACCGAAGATAAAATCACAAATTGTTGAGGTACGTCAGCTATAATAAAACAAAACCTTTTGTAATAACGCTTCGATATTATCAAAAATTACAATAAAACTTTAACGAGTAATTCCATTTTGACTTTCCTATATTTGAACCTCGATATTCTTCTAATTCCTTGATATAAATTTAGATAAATTGAATTTATTTAATTATTTGAGTTGCGTGGCTAATATTTCAAGTTTGTTTTCAACTCGTTGCATGATTGTTTGTGCTACTTTCAGAAATACTTGCTTGGATCCGAGTGTCTTAAGAGAGGGTGGATCTTGACTGGCTATCCTATAACTGTGGAAGACTTCAAGCTGTTAGATATGATTCCTACACCGCCTAACAGGTAACATCACCTAACGAGTGTGCGTAGTAAATTTAAGAGTTTCTCGCAGTAATCAAAATTATTTGCAAAAATATGTTCAGAGTGCTCATTCTTTATGCGGAACGTGAAACGTGCAAACTGAGGCTCCTAAATCGTCGATACAACGTTGCTACAGGAAGTGAGCATAATCTCATTTCGAGTGATTTTTCGGCAACGGTGCCGGACTGCAAACTAGATGTTCACCCGAGAGATTGCGAGGAAGTCGTCGAGCGAGATGTAACCATCTTATTTTCCCCGCAACATAACTCGAGTATAACTCACGCGGAATATACGCTCGAATAATTTTATTTTTCAAGTAAAATTACTTCGAGTAAGAGTTTATTTTTTAAATCTTTGTAATTTTCATCATCTCAAACTTGACAACGAATTTTTAAGCAGTGGATCGTAATTTCTTACAAAAAAGTGTTTTTATATAAATTGTGTTGACATCATTTTTCTTCATTTATAGTCATAATTACTTTCTATTTTGCGGATGTATAGTGCCTGTTTAAACTACAATTATGCTATATTAAAAAAAAATCTAGTTTTTTATCGTTCTCTTAATGTATTTTGTTATATACTGTCGTAATGTAAATATGATTTGAATTCAGCACGTGAATTTTAACTTCTTTATTGTTAATTGCTGAGTGCAGCTTCGGGAATACGAGGAGAATATGGAGTCTATAATGAAGTATGTGGGGAGAACAGCGACCGTAATAAGCGCAATGTGCGAGAGAAAACTTGTGAGGGAAAAAGTGGAAGTTTGTCTGATGCGACCGGCACCGATCGCGAGACCCAGGATTCCGCAACCACCCTCTATGACTGATCCAATGGACGTGGAATTCGATCCTGACGATGAACCCGACCCGAGCATCTTCGACGATATTCGTGCGCCGGAGCCTCAATTTTCCTTTATTTAGCGATACACATAGACATATTAAAGTTCAAATTATTCCTGTAACAGATATACAGGACATTGTCTTAGAACAATTATTCGTAGTTTCTAAAACTTGTCGTTGAATCATGACAGACAGCTTAGTGGAAACGGGAGAGCTCTCCTATCCGTATCCCCGCCTATGGCCGAAGGATAATGTTAAACGAGGGGTGCGTAGCCCTTGACGACGAGGGAGCGAGGAAGCGGGGAAAACGGGCGCGCTCCTGTAAAATCCTGCGATCCTGGCACACGAAGCATCTCATCTTCGCGACGTCACGGCGCTTAATGTCGTATACAAACGCCAACGAAATTGGTTATGATGATATAACGTTACGTAACATGACGAGAGAGATGACGTAACGCGATCAAGGTGCCGTCAGTTTCGTCGTCATAGAAGAGACAGGGGCGGATGTAACATTCTCGTAACGCAGACACATGTCTCGAACTATCCCTATGTTATTCACACGAGTTATTCTTACGATTGAGATCAAATATTTAAAAATAAAAATCTAAGTAAATGTTTATACAAAGTAAATATTTGTATTTTAGCAACGATTTTATCTCGGGATATAAGTTGCACAAAGCTAGACTCGAAAAAAATTTATTTACTTTATAATTTGCCTCGTCACTGTTTAAACACGGGAATGTTTAAACATATTAAAAATAATAAAAATTACTATACGATTTTGTAACTGAGAAATAGATCGATATTCTGCAATAATTCATTATCCTTTCATTTCATATGCACTACTTATATTTCAGGAACTATGAAAAGTACTATTAAAATATTTGCTGTGTTTTGTAGCGAAATCTGCTATATTTTTGGCAAAATTTATTATCTTTCTTGACAAAATAGATCTTAATAATAATCGATTCCTAGACTACTAAAAATAGTAGGATTGAAAAAAATTTATGTGAAAAAAGCCATAATATTTTCTCGGTGTAGGATTCTTTCCGAATACAACATCCCTTCGTAATATACATGCCTGACTGATCACGGATTCAGATGTTGCGAGATATCGTTCAATCCATCCCTGGCACAAGCAAAGATGACGTAGATGGTGCGTCAGCCTTTTCGGGCAGAGTTCGAGCCACGGCTATCATCCTCAAGCGAAAGTCAAAAACTACCCCTCACGCGTGCTTTTCTGCACATCAATAGAGAGAAAGAGAAAAAGAGAGAAAGAGACAGAGAAAAAGAGAGAAATTACGTGTACATATATATAACATATTTCAAATTAATATTATTGAATAAGAAATTCATGAACCCTTTCCTATCTCCTGTCTTTTTTCGAGAACATTCCTATAGAGATTTTGCTAAATCTCAATTAAGCTAAAATTAAATTTAACTAAATTTAGATATCACGATATCACGATTTGTCCCAACTAATGCAAACAAAAACCTCGAAATTGTGAAACTTGATATGAATAATTACTTAGAAATTATTTGAAACTGACGTTTTAGATTTTCCTCTCTTTCTCTGCTTTACTTTCCGTAACATCAAACTTAACATTTCATTTATTTCTATGGCAAAGCGAAATAAACTCCGTTACGCGACGTTACATTGTTGTCTCGCGTGCATCAAACGGACAAATACGAGAAACACGAGGACACGCTGTCGCCGTTCAATATCGTTATCCTGGACAGCGATGAACGACGTATAACCGCGTTTAGCGAGTTCAAAAGCGCTTCATTTAGGGGTGAGGTGCATTCGAATTAAAGCCGCAGCGACGCCCACGCTAATGCCCGTAATTGCCTCAAACGTGAAGCATATTTCCGGACCAAGGACGCATAGAGACAGATAGGTCGCCAACATGCAAGGTTGCGCGCGCGCGGGAATTGTACGCCTCCACAGCAGGACTTGTTCGTGAGGGATGCGATCCTGATAGAGCCGCCCTCCTATCGCCAGGGTCGCCGTTTGTCACGTGCGTTCGTGAGAAACTCGTCGGACTGCGATTCAGCGCGTCTTCCTTATTAGGAAATCACGACTTATGCAAATCGCGCGGAAAGAACGAGTGAGCTGATCGATCTCGCAGCTGTGGCATGCGAGGTTCCTTCGAGTTGATCAACGAGACAGAACTGCGCAACCACCAGTAGTCACGTAAAATAATACCCCTGGCACGATATTGATTAAAGAGAGAGAGAGAGAGAGAGAGAGAGAGAGAGAGAGAGAGAGTCGTTTTTCATTTTTTTCCTTTTTCCAATTATTAGTGTAAGTGAAATCAATCGCGAAAAATATCGGTTGATTATTCCACGAAAGACGCGCATAAAATCGATTGTTGCGTAATCGCTATAAAGTGCGTACTGATATAAAGTGAATTATTATTTTACTAGACGTATTAAAATAACACAAATATACACACTCCTTGCCATCAAAGAATGAACAGCACGAATATTAGTTCGATGCGCAATGCATGAGCTTTCCTATTAGAATGACACACGTGAAAAGTTGAAGAGAAATGTGTACGCTTGCGTGGTCTTCGCAGAACAAGAATTTTTGTTTATTGCATGGGAAAGAACCAACTCGGGACCAATCGAGTTCTTCTGCTCATGCTTGACCTGTGGCCTTATGAACAATCGAAGTTCGTTCAGTTCCAATTCGTTCTGCTTTTCGGTATTCTCACGACATTTATTCTGTCTCAGGTACGTATCGTGGTTTCGTGCACTGAGAAAAAAATGTTTGGTATTTGTAACTATAATATATAATAATCACATGCAGAAATAATCATTATACATTATAGTCAGTAAAAACACTTTTTTAAATTAAATTCTACTATAATATTAGTGATAATAATCCCTTATATACTACTGTTACAACCATTTTCGTGTTAGCACAACCAAAATATAATTGCATGTGTGTGTGCAGCTTGGAGTATTTATTACTTCGAGATGCACGGCGGATCTTGTCCTCAAAGTTCTCCTCACCACTTTCATCCTTATCACTAGCATGATAAAGTACATTTCATTCTATGTCATTGGCGAAGAGGTGAGTTAGCGAATACTGTCATTCCTTTATTTTCGTCCAATAAGCTTTGAAAAATTAGCTTTTACATCCACCAACTACTCTTTCTTCTCTTTAAATTTCTCGTATCGATGAATTTTATATGGACAGCCAGGAGGTTAAATGTTAGTATTAAAAATTAAGAACTAGAACATTGAAACGACAGGTGAAGTCTCTCATCGAGCAAATTCAGCGTATCTATGATGAGTTAAGAGACGAGAAGGAAACCGCTATCCTGAACGAATATGGGAACAAGGCGAGACGCTATACTTCTATACTCACAGGTGAGGTGACACGTTATGATTTTTGCTGACGTGCAAGTTATACATTCCGAAGTCAATTAACAAATTCCAAATTCTAAGCGCAATTACATTTTCTCGAAAATATTTGTATCTCTTTGTTTCTTTCTTTCTAGTGCTTTCTACCTGCGCTTTCTTTATTCTTTGCCTGTCGCAACTCTGGCCACGCATTCTCGATATAATTCTGCCCACAAATAGTAGTCGACCGATCCACACGTTGCGATTCATAAACGAGTACTTCCTCGATCAAGAGAAACATTTTTACTTGCCTCTGCTGCACGCGAACGCGGCAATTTGTATATCTGGCCTAACGATGCTTAGTACCGGAACGATGCTGATGTCATATGGTCAACACATCTGCGGGATGTTCAGAATTGCCAGGTGAAGAGAGTGAACGACGTGTTTTCTTGCGTGTCTTCTTTTAAAATTATTAAATTAAATTATTAAATTGTAAACATGAATATATATAATTATGTACAAAATTATGTATCAAAAAATTGTACCTCTGGTCAATTTTATATGAATTAAAAAACTTTGAATTGAAATTAATTGAAATTTTTTTAAGATTATTTCATAAAAAAATTTTACTTAAATGGGATCGATGCTTAAGTCTTAAAAGGTCTTAAACAATTTTACTAACGGTCGATACTTTGAGATATTCTCATCAAGATTATTTTTCCAATTGATTGTAGCTATCGCATTCAGCACGCGATGAAGCTTATCGAATCGTGGCCACAGAACGAGAAATCCACCTACGAAAGGATAATTTGTGCAGTAGATATTCATCGCAAAACTCTGCAGTTGGTATCAATCCAAATACACGCATAAAATCAGTGCACTGATGTTCCCTTTTACATTTTAAAGGTCCGCCGAATTTTTAATGTCCACATTCACGCTGTGGTTCTTCCTATTGATAGGCGCCGGTGTGATTTCCACGAGTCTTAATCTACTACGAGTGAGTGCCGTCTATGTAAAAGAGCACATGCATACGCATACACACTCGCGAAATCGTGTTTCAGATCTTTCTGACGTTGTCGTCTGGATACGACGTCGAGGAAATGACTATACAAATTATATTCTTGAGTACTCAGTACCTGTACATGTTCATAGGCAATTACATCGCCCAAAGAATCACGGATCACAATAATCAAGTGTTCATCACCGTATAAGCGACTTTTACGTGACACTCGTAGAATAATATGGAAATAAATTTATATAAAAGAAAAAAAATTAATGTTCTCTCTCCGTGTATATACAAGGTGTCCCGCCATTATCTCTTAAAGACGGATTCCTGTGGTAATTTGAAGAAAAAGAGCCTAATGCAAAAATGTCGAGGCTATAATACTTTTTAAATTATAAACAATTAAAGTTAACCAATTATATTGGCTAAAGTATGCGCGTTCAGGTACAGTATAACACACAATGGTACAGAGCCTTCTTGAAATAGTTATACGTAAGTAGTATACGTAAGTTTTACTGCGCAGGTTTAATCATACTATAAAATAACTGCGCAATGAAAATTACGTATACGCAAAAATTTCAAAAATAAGAGCCCAGGTGCATGCATATAAGAGAGAATTTACATAAGATATGAAATTAGTTGTAAATCCCTGAAAGAAATGTCAAATGCGTGACAGTTGACTGATTCTCATAAATGTATTGTGTAATATTTTATTCATAACATTTTAACGAAATTGTTATTAATTGCGATATATTTATTTAAATGATAGAAAAAGCAGATTATTATTACATATATTGTTGTATGTATAAACTTCCGTATCAATATTTGGAAAAGGGACATGTGCATGCACCTGTACCATTGTGTGTTGTACCGTACCTGAGCGTGCGTACTTTAGCCAGTAAAATTGGTTAACTTTAATCGTTATTATTGTATAATAATATAATTGTATAATTTGAAAAGTATTATAGCCTTACCATTTTTGTATTAGGATTTTTTTTATTCAAATTACCTTAGGAATCCGCTTTTAAGATAATAATGCGGTAGAGACACCCTATATGATGAAGAAGTTACATTTCCATGAAGCTTTTTATTGATTCATTGGTTTTGCTAGTCATTTATTATATTGTTACTTAGATACAATATACGGTGGTACATGGCTCCTTTAGAAATTCAGAAGATGATACTGTTCATACTGCAGAGAGGAACTAAGACTTACAATCTACAGGTCGGTGGCATCTTCGTAGGATTCTTAGAAGGTTTCGCAACGGTAAGAAAAGATTGCGCACCGTGTGGTCAGAAGACAGAAGCCCTACGCTCCAAAACATCACGCTATTTAAGATAATTTTAGCACCAATACAATTATTTTTTTATAACAATTAAAAGTACCATTAATAGTAAAGATTATGAAGGTAGCGCTACGAATATTAGTCACGTTATGCTTCCTCCAACTTTTTTTTCTTTTGTTTATTATGTATGCGTGTACGCACGTTTTATTTCATTTATTAAAGATAAATCGTTCTTGTAAGTTTGAAATATTCACTTGAAAATTATTGTCGGCACGTTTTGAAACGGATAACCTCGTGTCGGAAGAGCGCGATAATTAAGGAAACAAATGTCTCATTGCAGTTGATTAGCGCCACAATATCTTATTTCACTGTTATTTATTCAACGCGACAGTGATACGGATATCTATCAGCAACGTAACCTACTAGCAAAATAGTGAGAAATAGAGAATTACTAAAATTATTAAACTTGCAGTATCATTTATCTCTGCTCCTAGTTAGGATACAATCAGGAGAAACATGGTTAACTTACATGTTAAAATATACATTTACATACATATATTATTTTATGTATTTTTGACATGTTAAATAAATATAGATACATACGCTTTTCAATTACTATCTGATATTGCGGGAGATAATATTAGCACAAATCGCAGATCGTGGCTGAGCGTCAGTCCGGAGATGAAATGTGACCTATCAGCACTCGTGAAAATGACACAAGTGAAATAGTGAAATAGTAGAAGAGGTACGAATGTGCTCTTGCGCGTTCCCCACCTGAACGAACCACCTGAGAAAATTTCTACTACTGGGAAATCGATCGCTTAATCGCAGCTCTTACCGCCACAATATTGGCGAAACACGAATGTTGCGTTCTCACAGTGGAATTTTATAGCACAACAGTTGTATAGAAATTACTCCAAAATTGGTCAATTTGCACCAGAAGAAATATTGTAAAAGGAGTATGTTAAGAAATGCTTATTCGCGACGAACAGAAGAGGAGGGAATGCGAAATACCATTAAATTTAAGAAGAATTGTCACCAATCATTGTCAATGGATTCTTTTGTGCTATAAAGTGGCCAAATTGCCTAATCGATTGATGGGAGATAGAAGGGGATGAACGCGCACGTTGAATTCCCTGCGGCCAAACGTATGTGAAACTTCGAGTAGAGATGATCAGTATCGAGGTTCAGTACTTTAGTGTCAGTAAAAATCTTCTACTAGCTATCGGTCTGTGGCCTTATCAACAAACGAGGATCACTCAACTTCAGTACACATTATTCCTCTCTATACTGCTGCTCGCCATCATGTGTCATGTATGGCATAAAATTGAAATAGTATCATTGCATAATAAATCGTTATATCATATGATTACCTGCAAGTTTTTTTCAATTTTACATGCTTTAAATATAAATGATCATATACAGAAGAGGTCTCTTTACTGTTATATTACATTTTGTATCATAATTATACATATACAGTATTGTTTAGATATTAATTTTTAAATAATGCTTCCTAGTAAAACATTTCCACGAGAAAACTTCTTGATTGTAGTTTACAACGTTTATCACCACAGAATGCACTCTAGACATTGTCATCAAAGTGTTATCTTCTATGTCAATTTTCTTGAATTTCGCAATTCAGTACTCCTCGTTTCGAATGAACACCGCAACCGTGAGTTGACTCTTTATTCTCTCTCTACTTATCCATGTAACTAACCCCATTACAAAATAACATTTTATACTGTAGTATAAAGGTGATTCTGTTAAGATTCTATTAAAAGAAAATTTTTGTGGTTGAAGAGCTTGACAAAGTGATGATTTTGAGATAGGAGAAAGCAATGTCCTGTAACGGTTTCTTAAGGACGCCTAGCCTTTTCGTTATTTAGCATTGTGCTTGACAAATACGTTTCCACGCTTTGTTTTGATCTATTTTTGAGAAGTTTTTGATCTGTTTTGATTTATTTTCAGAGAAGAAAATAAATAAAGTACAACAAAAGTAGATCAGAATAAACCACGGGAAGCTTTGTTAGACACAATATTTAATAATAAAAAGATTTCTAGGAATTAAAAGAAGTGTCACAAAACATTATTTTATCTTAAATTAATTCCTTTACCAAGCCTTCGTATTATAAAAATTTTGTAACATTCTGACAGAATCACCCTGTGTATAATAATACTTAGTATAATAAGTTGTTGAAACTACAGGTCAAGATTGTATTGGAAGAACTCCAACACATATGCGGCAAGATAAAGGATGAGAACGAACTTGCTATTATCAAAAAATATGGAAACATTTCAAAACGTTATACAGTTTGGCTCACAAGTAAAATGAAGTCATACTACGTCCGTTATTAATTACAATTACTCAGAATAACTATGATCATTATTGTTACAATAGTATTAGTATATTCGTTTCCCTTTTCTCTACACACAGAATTAATTAATCAATTCTTAAGCGATTGTTTTTAAAAAGTTAGAGGAGCATACGAATCATGCAAAGTAAATTGTGTTTTTTCATTTTTAGCATCCGCTATTTTCGGCGAAATTGCTCTTATCTTGATTCAATTTTGGTCGAGCATACTCGACTTCGTTCAACCAAGAAATGAATTCAGGTCACGCATTTCGCTGTTCCCGATGGAATATTTTGTGGATCACCACAGATACTTCTACTTAATAATGCTGCACTCAAACGCAGCTGTTTGTATAGGCATTACCACAATGCTAGCAACAGGAACGTTATTCATCGCGTGTCAAAAGTGCGTCTGCGGACTGTTCATGGTCGCCAGGTAAGAAAGTAAGTACAGAGATTTCAGAGGAGATTATCGCAAACAAAATAAATTAAAAATAAATTTAAATCAAGAATATTTCTTACATCATAACGTAATAAACGAAATTTTTATTAGAATTTGCTATTTCAGACCAAGTGATAGTTTTTCTTTTCGTGAAGACAAAGATACATTCAACGACACAACTATGTAATAATGACAGACTACTTGCAGTTACCGTATCAAACATGCGATAAGCACCAACCAAGTCACACCGAGAGGCAGAAATCTGACTTTTTTGAGGATCACTAAAGCTGTAAAAGTTCATCGGAGAGCTATGAAGTTGGTATTTACTTATAGTATAGTATAGTATTGCACTCATGACATGTAATAGTGAAAAGTTCTTTCATTCTTAAAGATTCTCCCAATTTCTGGTGACTAAATTTGAGGTGATGTTAGGCACAACGATATTGTTCGGAATAAGCAGTTTCAGTCTCAACCTTTTTCGCGTGAGTCTTCGTCTTTCGTTCTTTAATACGGTCGTAGACGAAAAAACTGTCCATAATTTTCGGGAGGAGTCTGCAAACTCATCCGTATTATTTAGTGAGATAATTTTCTGTTCAAAAACGGAATTTTCCTATTGAAAAAGACAGAGAGTTTATATGCAAATTCTCTCCAAAAATTAGGGACAATCTTTCTGTCCACGGTCGTATATTTTCAGGTAAATTCTAAATAGCAACATGTTAAGCGAGACATTTGAGAGTTTTATGTTGCAATTCTAAGCAAATATACGAGTAAATCGTAAAATCGCAGCTTATGAAAAAACAAAAAAAATCGTATATATTTACGAGTAATTATACGGTCCGCATAGAATTGCAGATCCATTCGTTCTATAAGTTCTTACAAGTCTTACGAGAACAAGTTACGAGTTTTACGATTTTGTTTAGAATTGCAGTATTAATCTACTAAAAGTGTAGAATCACAATAAATCGAGGCAATATATGAGAAATGTAATGTGTTTATGTCACACAGATCTTTTCGATTGCGTCATCGAATTGTCGTAATATAAAGGAACTGATGTTGTCCGTTGGATATGCAGCTATAATCGCTATGTACATATTCTTAGCCAACTATATTGGGCAGGATCTTACAGATCACAATAGAAGAGTGTTTATTACAGCGTAAGAGACAGATTCATGGAGAATTTGATGATATCAATCATAAGATAACAAATGCTTCTTAAGGAGATGGTAAACATAATGCAGTTTAAAAAAACGATTTTATAAATAAACAAATTTTTTTGCTTTCAATACAATATTTCATGTATTGACATTACTATTTTCACTCTCTAGAAGTATTTGTAATTCTATGCAGACAAATAGAAAAACAAATAGCAAACTACGAGACTGCATTATGTCGGCATCCAGCATCTTTTTAGAGATATTCTATATTCAGAATTGTGAGCAATTAATTGATAATTAATTAATTAATTATCGTTAATTATCGCTCGAATTAATCGTCAATTAACTTACTTGAAATATTTATTCAAATAAATTGGAGGCAAAAGTAACGTAGCTCTCTCAAAAATCAGTCGTTAATAATTACTTAGCTTCTCGTCTTCTTACAGATCTCGAGTTACCAATTTATCTTGTCTAGCTAATAATTCGCAGGTACAACGTTCACTGGTACAAAACACCAGTGACCGTGCAAAAACTGATACTGTTTCTATTGCAACGAGGTACGAAAGATTTCACGCTGAACATTGGTAAACTGATCCACGTATCATTAGAGTGTTTTGCCTCGGTAAGAAATTCTATCGTTTATCATAGAGAAATCGCTTAAATATCTGTAGCGTTTTCAGCCGAACAACTTCTCTTTCACAGCTGGCAAACACATCGATATCGTATTTCACCGTACTCTACACCACGCAAAAATAAGGTACTTCACGATTGTTTAAACGTATCTGTACATTTCCGCATTTATACCAAATGCAATGGAGTTTTTAGAAAACATAAGTATATTTACAAAAAATAACAGCTAGCATTGCATCCTTTCCCCATACTTATTAACATTCTGACCAATGACACGTTAAAATTGAGAAAAAGACGGGATTGTATAGCAGTGCGCTTTCTGAGGAACACAAATTACCTCACAAATATATTCTAAGTAACATTGCATCTCTTTCAATACATGTCGATAGATATATTATTTAAAAGACATGAGCAACGAGAACTGGGCGAGACAAGCTATCGCCTGAAGATCAAACGTAACGTATGAATGCTCATACCGTAATGTAATACTGGAAATAGCGACATCGAGAAGCGTCGAATACGCTTGCGCGGTCCTGGCGCAACAAGTGTCCTCAAGGGTGCTTTTTTTTATGGGAATATACCATCTGGGAGAATTATTCTCTCTGGCAAATCGATCGCCTAATCGTCTCTCTCTTTCAAATGACGTGAGTGAAATGCGACTGTCGAGCCCACACGGTAGTGTTTCGCGCGATATATTTACATTAATTTAGGCAATATCAGATCAATTTCGCGCTATAAGTGAGACACAATGAGTAATGAAAGAAAATGAGACAAAATGAATGAAAAGTAAGAAGGGAGGCATACACCGTCGTCGACTTCTTCGAGCGGCTTAAACGTTCGTCGAAAGTAGCGGAGAAATGATCAACGTAGAAGCTATATACTTTAGATTCAGCAAAGATCTTCTGGAAGCTATCGGTTTGTGGCCAAGCCGGCAAACAAGACTCGATCAACTTCGATATGCTCTCTTATTCGGTATTCTATCAACCGTCATCGTGTTTCACGTACGGCGCACTGCTGAAGCAATATTATTATGTGACAAATTACCGCATTACGATTAAGAGCCAACGATTAAGAGTTTACTTTGCTAAATTTACAAAATATAAGTATTCGCATTTATTAATGTTACGTTACGATTTTCACACCGCGACTATAGGAAGACTATTAATAGACAATAAGTATTGATATGCGATCTATTAAACAATTATTGAATAATGTTTCACGATTTCTAATTTATCAATGGAGAATAGGGATCTTTTAGCGCGATTTTCTCGACAAAATTGTTATTTGCAGTTTACAACATTTATGACCGCGGAATGCACTTTGGAGTTAATCGTCAAAGTTCTCGCTTCCGTGTTCATATTTATAAATATCATGATCAAATACAGCGCGTTCTGGATGAATACCGTATCTGTAAGTTAATTTTTTTTATCCTGTTTGTCTATATAAGTAGTTTTGATGAATTTGTTTTCAGAAATAAAATTTTTTAATAAAAGAAATTATTGAAACTGTAGATCAAGAAGTTAATGGAGCAACTTCAACGCACATGTGGCGAGCTGAAAGACAAGAATGAGATTGCCATCATGCAAAAATACGGGCTTATCTCGAGACGTTACACTATTTCGCTTACAGGTCAGAGTTTAAGAAATGTCGAGGCCTTCGTCACAACGTGAATCATACTTTCCGCTCGTGGAAACCTTCACGGAACTTGTAAAGTTCACACATAAACTACATGGAGAAAAAATTATAATTTTTTTTTATATAAATTCCTTACTATTTTATTATAAAATTCTTTTCGTGTATCTCAAATTTGAGTCAATGTATATTGTAATATAAAAATAATCGTCTAGAGTTTGTATATTTTTCTTTTTCAGCATCCTTCGTTTGTGGTGAATTTAGTTTTATTTCGATCCAGTGTTGGTCGAGCATTCTTGATATTGTTCAACCGCGAAACGAGTCCAGACCTCATGTCATAGTTTTTCCAATGGAGTATTTCGTGGATCAGCAAAAATATTTCTATTTAATCCTCTTGCACATAAACACAGCCATTTTCATAGGCGGTATCACAGTACTGGCGACGCTATCGGTGCTCGTCTCGTGTCAGGAATGCGTTTGCGGAATGTTCACAGTTGCCTGGTAAGAAAATGGGAATGACAGAATAACTATTGATAATTAGTTTTTTACTGATAACTGAGAACACGTTTTTTTTTTTATTTTTAATCGAGATACCTGCCTAACAAAATTAATTATATGTTAACCTTAGCTTAAACAAATCTTAAACAGATTTTTTATAAAAATTACTTGTAGTTATCGTATCGAACACGCAATGAGTACCGACGCGCTGCGGAATGTCAGTTTGAACAGCAAAAATCTGATTTCCCACGGAATAATTAGGGCCGTGGATATCCATCGCGAAGCTATGAAGTTCGTATTTAACGGATGACGTATTAATATGGCGTGTCATGTATAATGAAAAATTCGCTTGCACTTAAAGGTTATCCAAATTTCTAATGTCGAGGTTTGAGGTGGCGTTCGGCTTTTTAATAATGGCCGGGGTGATCGGTTTGACGCTTAATCTGTTCCGCGTAAGTTTCGGCTCATATTTTTGAATGTGCTTTTTCGCACAATTTTACACGATGTTTCTTTAATAATAATAGTAATAATGCTTTATTTTTATGCTGGGATACGTAATTATCGTATTTAACTGACGATTAATATAAACCAATTCAATTGGAGTCCGTCAACTGGATTTGGAATTAGAAGTCCAATTCAATTGACAATTGATTTGGACAAAATCAATCGAAGACTATTCGATTGGCGGCTGATTTAAACGAATTCAATTGAACGACTTTTAATTAAATTTGCTAAATTAAATCGTTGATTAAACAGTCTATCATTAAATTTGTTAAATTCAATTGTTAATTGAAGAATCTTTGATTCTCTCCGCTCATATCAATCATCAATTAAACACTTTTTGATTGTTTTTACTTGGATCAATCATCGCAATTAATTGAATTGAAGCCTATTTGTTCAGATCAATTATTAAACTGAGAAAAAAAACTATAGATATTTTTACAACTCTACACCAAAGTTAACAGATCTCCGCGTACTTTTAACGTGTAATTCACACTTGCTAGGTCTTTCAGGTCTTGTGCTCCGAGTTTAATATCGGGGAACTGTTTTTACCTACTGGGTGCATATTCCTCATTATTCTATACATGTTCATAGCTAACTACATTGGGCAGGATCTTACGGACCACAACAGTCAGATATTTACTACCGTGTAAGACACATTTTCGTCAGATAGCGATATTTATAAGTGAGCAGCTACTTGGAAAATAATTACGTCAAACGCGGAAATTAACAGCTTTCGTGAAATGTATATATGTCAAAAGTGTTCGGCTCACAGTTTCTCCACTTTTCTCAAGTTATTTCCGTTCGCTGCCTAATCGCTGATTCGCAGGTACAACGTTCCATGGTATGAAGCGCCTTTGCACGTGCAGAAATTGATAGTGTTCCTTCTGCAAAGAGGTACCAAGGATTTCACTTTGAGCGTAGGTGGTTTTTTCAATGGATCCATGAAATGCTTCGCCGCGGTAAGGGAATTGTGCGTCTTAGCAGGGTCCTTATTTTGGACGCGCACACTACCATCAAAATGTATAACTTTGCTTGAATCTCCTTTTACATGTTTTTCACTGTACTAACAAGTAAACCTACCCAAACGTTACACTTCCATTTCTTTCTAATTTGGCACAAATGTAGAAGTATACAAAATATTTAGGTCATATTTTTTCATTTTGACCCACTTTGAATTTCGCGAGTAGTTGATAGCTTTTTAATATTCTCACTCCTATCATCAACAAGTGCAACAAAAATGTATGTTCTCTAAAAAAAGGCATGTAACAGATTTAATTGTTGCCGCTTTTCCGCGATACTGATTGGTTTTCTCGCTTAGCTCATTTCATGTGGGCTGCGGCTTGCTTTGTGTCTCTTCCTGTCTCTCCTGCCTCTCCTGCCTCTTCCTGCCTCTCCCTGTCTCTCCCTGTCTTTCCCTGTCTTTCTCTGTCTCTCCCTGTCTCTCTCTCTGTCTTTCCCTATCTCTCACTGTCTCTCTCCTTGTCTCTCCCTGTCTTTCCCTGTTTCTCCCTGTCCTTCCCCGTATCACTCTATCTTTCCTTGTCTCTCCCTCTTTCCCTGTCTTTCCCTGTCCCTCCCTGCCTCTCCCCGTTTCTCCGCGTCACTCCTCGTCTCTCCCCGTCTCTCCCCGTCTCTCTCCGTCTCTCCCTGTCTCTCCCTATAATTATTAATTAATTAAAATAAATTTTAATTTAATTTAATTTTTATTTTATTTTTATTTTACGTTTTTTATTAACTACATGGCGCGCGCGTAGCGCGCGCATGTATTGTTCTAGTAAGAAATAAAACTGAATATAAGATATAGGTGTTTGTGGTTTGCTGATTATGAATATAAGGTCAAATGTGAAAAATTATTTGTATAAATAATAAAATGATTAAACAAAACATATGAAAAGTTGAAAAAAATTATTTATACAAATAATTTCTCGATTTGGCCAAGATTCGGACCATTTTCTATTAATTTAGCACAGATTTAAAATATTTCGGTTGGAATCTCGGCTAGACAAATTTAGAATGGTTTATGTCTCAACTATGCCGATTTTGTTAAAATTATTTAATTATATCTATTATATACCGATTTTGTAAAATTATTTAATAATATCTTGTATTCAATTTTATTTCTTATACATTTTTGTCGCACTTGTTGACGATAAGAGTGAGAAAATTAAAAAGCCATAAACTGCCCGTGAAGTTCAAGGTAAGTCAAAATGAAAAAATATGATCTAAATATTTTTTGTACTTCTACATTTGTGTCAAGATCGGAATGTACCTTTTGGGTATGTACCTTTTAGGTTTACTTGTAAGTCACGTCATTTAACACGTCATTTAAACGTATTAAATTATAATTTACATGTCTCAAACGTATTAAATGACATTAATGATTTAAAATTGTAAGAAACATGCAGAAAGAGTTTTAACCAAATTACACGCTTATGAGTGTAAAAATAACACATTTAGATTTGAAGCGTATCGAATGCTAAATATATTATTTTTTATACTCAAGCTGATACGACGTTTGTACAAAAAACCAAACCTTGAAATTAGAAGGATATACTAATGTGCACTATGCGTCCAGAATAGGACATCAAGTCGCGCGCGTCTCGAACGAGATCTCTTTTGCAGTTGGCGAACACGTCAATATCCTACTTCACCGTTTTGTATTCTACGCAGAGATAAAGCTGTTAGAGTTGCAATTAGTGATAAAGCAACGGTGGATTTCCCACTTGCTTATACAAAAAAGTGCATCGTAGAATAATTTAATCGATCTTAAATATGAATATTAATATAAGGTTAGAGTCGTATTGTATGATCAAATTAATATTATTTCAATATCTATTAAAATATAATTATCTTATCATCTTAAGCTAACATTTTAGTAGAGTTAACATCCTATTTTTCAATAGAGAAAATTACTATAATATTGAGTAGTTATTTAGACGCTCCTGAAACTGAATAATTATTCAATATTATTTCCACGTTAAAAAATTAATTTATTACAGCAATATTTTAGTAATAACAAAATTGACTTTGGTGCTATGTAAATAGTACTTAGCGAGGGATGTTTCTTCTCAGGAGAGAAATGTAATGTGTGCCTGTGGGCGTTAAAGTGATCGCAGCTCTGAAAAACGACAAATACTCGGTAAATACGCGGCACTTTTATTACAGCCGTAGGTATTTTTTGTTTTCGCGGAAAATAAGCACCGGTACATCTCCGCATTTACACCAAATGCAATGGAGTTTTTAGAAAACATAAGTATATTTACAAAAAATAACAGCTAGCATTGCATCCTTTCCCCATACTTATTAACACTCTGACCAATGACACGTTAAAATTGAGAAAAAGACGGGATTGTATAGCAGTGCGCTTTCTGAGGAACACAAATTACCTCACAAATATATTCTAAGTAACATTGCATCTCTTTCAATACATGTCGATAGATATATTATTTAAAAGACATGAGCAACGAGAACTGAGCGAGACAAACTATCGCCTGAAGATCAAACGTAACGTATGAATGCTCATACCGTAATCTAACACTGGAAATAGCGACATCGAGAAGCGTCGAATACGCTTGCGCGGTTCTGGCGCAACAAGTGTCCTCAAGGGTGCTTTTTTTTATGGGAAAATACCATCTGGGAGAATTATTCTCTCTGGCAAATCGATCGCCTAATCGTCTCTCTCTTTCAAATGACGTGAGTGAAATGCGACTGTCGAGCCCACACGATAGTGTTTCGCGCGATATATTTACATTAATTTAGGCAATATCAGATCAATTTCGCGCTATAAGTGAGACACAATGAGTAATGAAAGAAAATGAGACAAAATGAGGGAAAAGTAAGAAGGGAGGCATACACCGTCGTCGACTTCTTCGAGCGGCTTAAACGTTCGTCGAAAGTAGCGGAGAAATGATCAACGTAGAAGCTATATACTTTAGATTCAGCAAAGATCTTCTGGAAGCTATCGGTTTGTGGCCAAGCCGGCAAACAAGACTCGATCAACTTCGATATGCTCTCTTATTCGGTATTCTATCAACCGTCATCGTGTTTCACGTACGGCGCACTGTTGAAGCAATATTATTATGTGACAAATTACCGCATTACGAATAAGAGCCAACGATTAAGAGTTTACTTTGCTAAATTTACAAAATATAAGTATTCGCATTTATTAATGTTACGTTACGATTTTCACACCGCGACTATAGGAAGACTATTAATAGACAATAAGTATTGATATGCGATCTATTAAACAATTATTGAATAATGTTTCACGATTTCTAATTTATCAATGGAGAATAGGGATCTTTTAGCGCGATTTTCTCGACAAAATTGTTATTTGCAGTTTACAACATTTATGACCGCGGAATGCACTTTGGAGTTAATCGTCAAAGTTCTCGCTTCCGTGTTCATATTTATAAATATCATGATCAAATACAGCGCGTTCTGGATGAATACCGTATCTGTAAGTTAATTTTTTTTATCCTGTTTGTCTATATAAGTAGTTTTGATGAATTTGTTTTCAGAAATAAAATTTTTTAATAAAAGAAATTATTGAAACTGTAGATCAAGAAGTTAATGGAGCAACTTCAACGCACATGTGGCGAGCTGAAAGACAAGAATGAGATTGCCATCATGCAAAAATACGGGCTTATCTCGAGACGTTACACTATTTTGCTTACAGGTCAGAGTTTAAGAAATGTCGAGGCCTTCGTCACAACGTGAATCATACTTTCCGCTCGTGGAAACCTTCACGGAACTTGTAAAGTTCACACATAAACTACATGGAGAAAAAATTATAATTTTTTTTTATATAAATTCCTTACTATTTTATTATAAAATTCTTTTCGTGTATCTCAAATTTGAGTCAATGTATATTGTAATATAAAAATAATCGTCTAGAGTTTGTATATTTTTCTTTTTCAGCATCCTTCGTTTGTGGTGAATTTAGTTTTATTTCGATCCAGTGTTGGTCGAGCATTCTTGATATTGTTCAACCGCGAAACGAGTCCAGACCTCATGTCATAGTTTTTCCAATGGAGTATTTCGTGGATCAGCAAAAATATTTCTATTTAATCCTCTTGCACATAAACACAGCCATTTTCATAGGCGGTATCACAGTACCGGCGACGCTATCGGTGCTCGTCTCGTGTCAGGAATGCGTTTGCGGAATGTTCACAGTTGCCTGGTAAGAAAATGGGAATGACAGAATAACTATTGATAATTAGTTTTTTACTGATAACTGAGAACACGTTTTTTTTTTTATTTTTAATCGAGATACCTGCCTAACAAAATTAATTATATGTTAACCTTAGCTTAAACAAATCTTAAACAGATTTTTTATAAAAATTACTTGTAGTTATCGTATCGAACACGCAATGAGTACCGACGCGCTGCGGAATGTCAGTTTGAACAGCAAAAATCTGATTTCCGACGGAATAATTAGGGCCGTGGATATCCATCGCGAAGCTATGAAGTTCGTATTTAACGGATGACGCATTAATATGGCGTGTCATGTATAATGAAAAATTCGCTTGCACTTAAAGGTTATCCAAATTTCTAATGCCGAGGTTTGAGGTGGCGTTCGGCTTTTTAATAATGGCCGGGGTGATCGG